AGAGCTGTACTTTGTAATTCTCTCGTGGTGCTCCAACGTTAGACACTATTGCATGACAACAACCTTCTGCTAACAATCCCACAATGCAGTGCATCACAGTTTGAGCAGTGAAGTGAACGAGGGAGAGATTTTAGTTTAGAAGATTTAAAGAGACGTGAAATGACGGCTGTTCCACCGAAGCCCTTCTTCTTCAGTGCTTCTGCGATGTCGCTTCCTCTCGCCATCTTTGTCGAGCAGAAACCTAAAACAACATGCTGAACATGAACAAGGAGCGGCGCCAGACTGCGGCCATGTCTGACCTTCCTGCAGCTGCTCCTCCTAAAGCCCAATTAAATCCAAATCTTTTTTGGAAAGACAAAATGAAAGGTGACGTCCATCGGCTGGACTACTGTATCATCGCTGCTTAGCCGCGTCGCTCGCGCTCCACTCCCCCCCCCCCTTTACATTTTTAAGTGCCCCTTTCACGTGGAACATAAAGAGAAGAGATTAGACGAGGAAAAAAGAAATTTGCAGTTATTTCCTGTTAATATCTTTCCCTTGTTGGGCTCTAATGAGAGGAGTGGCCCCTTCACTTTCAAGAGGGCTTAGCAGCAGTTAGCTGGCTCCAGGCTGCGGGGACAATAATCACATTTTAACTCAGCCTCACACCCCGGGCCCTCACAATAACTCACACCACTTAATTCCTCCTTTCAGAGCCGGCGATAAAACGCCAGAGGCAAAATTAATAGATGCTAATGGCCGCCTTCAATCAAAGCCGAGCGGGATCCAAATCTGCCAGTAAGGCCTATTAATTAACATGTGGAGGGGGGGGGGGGGGCGGCGTACTGAGGCAGGATGGGGAGGAAAAAGGGGCTCTGCGGTTCACACGGGCCTCCACAGGGCAGCCCATTGAAGGCGGAGGTAGGGGGGCTTTGTGGAGCTTCCCGGGCCACAATTAGAGGCTCCTGAATGGGCTGGCATTTGTCCTCCAGGTCCAGAAGCTGCACAGGACAGGAAGGGCCGAGTCCGGGCCGCATTGGTCGAATCGGACGTCAAATGGTGTCTGATCAGCAGAGCAGCGAGACCGAGAGGTCACGTGAACACGAGTCTCGACATGGCCACTAAAAAAAAAAAAGTGTAAAAGCCTGTTGTCTGTAAGATGTGCAGCGTTTGGGTCTTTTAAACACGTTCTGCAATACTTTGAGTCAAACATGTCAGGACAAAAGAGCCAGAACCCCGAGACCGGGCGTCGTACCTGCGCCCCACCTGTAGAGAGGTTTCGGTTTAATGTTGGAAAAGTCAGCACAATAAACCTCAACGCTGGAGAAACTAGCAGCCAGAATTAAAATAGTCTTATTACAGCCACAGATACTGGATTTGATCCTTTTCTTCCCGCAGAGCGTTTGATTTGAGGAGAATTTTACAAATAGAACAAAAGATAAGAGAGATGAGATAAGGTGAGAACTTTCAATATTACAGCAGCAAGTGGAATAAAGTAAAGTGACATTAAACAAAATACTAACAACATCAAAAATCAAAAATCTAATTATACAATACTAAATTACAACTATAAAACAAATGACCCAAAATAAAACGGTGCAAGAGACGATATGCATGTTGGCGTGGAGACTTTAAAACAGATAAAAATAAACTCCAACACTGCAATGAAACATGCTTCTGGAACAAACTGCTAGATATAGTGTTAGAAAAACCTGTGTAGCAAAGAAAAACTCCCGCACACTGTCTAACTTGCACGTTTGGGTTCCAGACCTTCATCAGACAAATGGTGTTACGTAGTGGGAAGCCATCTTTAGTAGGAGGTGACTTATTCGTCTACACCAATCACCTACTTCCTCATAAATAAATAAGGCAGCCATTACGAAACATTCATTCATATTTCCATGAGATGGATGTAGATTTCTGTATACTGAATGCACATCAAAACAATATCATAAAATGCATCATAAATAGACGTACTGGTGACAAACAACTTAGCAAATAAACATAACGCTACATAAATGGAGGAAAAAACCTACTGCATACGACATATGACCCAAAAAACAACAATCTCATACGTCCATAATCTAACTGCAAACTAACAATGAAACTTGATATGGGGAAAAAATCACCGTAGGCTAAATGTTAAAATCTTCACATTATTATATACGTGCTACAAATAACTTGTAGCAGTGCGTACATGTATAACATATGTGTGCAGGACTGTTAAGGGTTGGACAGGGGAACCCTCTGGAGAATAGCCCTATACAGACACACAAAAAACTGTTGAGTAGGAAGTCGTCATTAAGTCCCAGCTTATGTTTGCAGAGTAAAATCCAACAAGCTTCACGCTGCTTAAGTGACTGATCGTGGTCACCGCCCCTCGGTGGCGGGGTGACTTGTTCGATGCTTTGCCTCTGACTCTTCTGTCCCCCTCCGACGCACCTGTCTCTCGTTATAGAGGTGCGAAGGTATTTACTATTAAAATCAAAATCTTTTCATGGTACTGATATAAAATTTAAACTTGGACACGGTAAGGCTTTGTGTCTGAATGTGGAAACAGTGTTTTTTCGTCTGGACTTTTAGTTTTTAACAGATCTTTTATTCAGTTTTTAACAAGTCCTCCAATCAAAACAGGCCGTTCATCATCACCCTGCAAGACAACACTTGTGTGAGGTACCCGCTGATCTGCCTCCTGTATTTTTAAACCTCGGCCCTATTTTCACCTTTCCATGTTGAAATGACTCATGGGTACAAAAGATTTTGGAAATCTCGTGAGAGGCGAGCTGTTGCAGCAAGACGCCGGTGGAAACGTGAGTCAGAGCTGGAGTTAGGAAATAAAGTCTGGCCAGCAGCTCTCATACACAAGAAACTGCTCTGCCTGTTTCCTCCGACATCTTCCTTCAACAACTCGCCTCTCACGAGACTTCAGAGTGAGAACTGTCCTCGAGCGAGACTTCAGTTTCCTGTTAAAAACGAAGGGGGTCACCGGGAGTCCCTCGCAGGGATCGTCAGACACCTGATGCCTGAAGTCTGAGCCTGTCGCTGACCACAACACCTACTGCATGGAGTCAAAACTTTCTGTAGACGCGAGTCTACGTGAGAACAGGGCCCAGGTTAAAAATACAGAAATGACGCTTTAACGCTACTCGGTTAAAGTCTTGTCTTAAAGAAACCATGTGGTCCTCTGTAGAGGCCGGTACGCACAGCGAGAGTCAGAGTGTCAGAAAGTCTTCCAGTCTGTTATCTGAGTCTGGTTCTGATATTTAAATCACATAAATCTCCAGATTAGTTTATGTCTACCTGTAATGATTTATCCACTTGAAATCAATGCATTTTTAGGTTTTATGTACAGAAGTATTAACATCAAAATATACAAAAAGTAAAAGTTCCTCGTCCCCATTTCACAATAATGACTGATGAGTTCATCACTTTTACCAAGGGATCAATAAAGTCATTATTGTATTTTTCTTATTAAAATTAAATTAATCTTTTCTTAATCTGACTCAGCAAAACAACTTAATGCCGTGAAGTAAAAAGTACTATATTTGAAACAGGTGGTGATTTGAGTCTTCAGTCTGATCCGTCAGGAACGAGAGCAGAAACGTCTCACTGTGATTATCACTCTGAACACCAGATCAAAGAGGGACGTTTCCTCTGACCTTTGACCCCTGGGGGTCAGTTGTCTTGTTCTGTGTCAATTGACCTGCCACTCCGGACGCCCCCCCCCATCAGTTAAAGGAAGTCCAGACAACAACACATTTGTACAAAATAAATATTCAACTATTTTACAGTTTAATACTTTAACAGATTAACCAGAGAATGTTCTGATTTATAAAAAATTAAATGATTAATCAACAACTATTTTAATAATCCATTTCCAGTTCAGGTATGTGAGGGTTTCAGACAGAACAAGAAATATGAAGATTACAGCTTGGACTATTTCACACTACATGATTAATGGATTAATCAGAAATAATGACCCTCGTCGGCGCTTTCATTGATCACAGCTGATGAAAATGTTTTAGGATGTGAGTTTTGACTTAAAAAGTGTCAGGTGACAAAAAAGAACCATTTATTTATATGCAATCCTCAGCGTGCAATTTTAAAATACTAAATTAATCCAATTAAAAGTTTATTTAAATAATTCTTCTGTGTAATGTTTTTTGCCAGATGGCATTTAGTCATTTTAAAAATAACAAAACTGAACAAAGATAATGAAGACGCGAGTTGACAAACATTTAAATTTAGCCTCATTTCTACATGAACACAAGAAGAATATTTAGTTCTTTAATTCTGGACACTCAAGGGCATCAATTTGTGTTGGAAAGTGGTGAAGACCTTGCCTAAGGGTTTCGATTAACTGTGTGACGATACACTTAGTTCACGAGAACGAGACGAGAAGATGCTCCATGCTGAAATCCACGATGAGTGGGGGATCTGCGGGTCGTCCACCAGAAGATTTTGAGCATTAAACACATCATTTCCTGCATTCTGGAGGTATTTTTTGCACCAATATCTGGTGGAAATGTTTTATTTATGTAAAGGGAAACAAAATTCAGGTGGCAGGGGGAAATATAATGCAGCAATCAGCTGCTTGTATTTTTGGGACAATGCACCTTTGTTTCTTATATATTTAAATTGCATTTTCTTATTCTCAAATTCATTTATTTTCTTGTTGCAAGATATTTTTTTAGAATAGGCTATTTTTAAAATGATTGTGAAAGCTGTCACTAATAACTCACTATCAACATTCTATGAATATCAAAGGACATTTGAGAAGATGATTGATTATTGATCGATGATTAAGTTTGGCATCATGACTCTCATATCAGCCTGCCCCTCCTCGTAGCTGTCAGTCATCCACTTCACTTTCATCATCCCCAACACGCTCCTCCTTAAACACTCGATCAACAAAATGGCTGTCGGAAAGGTTGCTTCTGCGCATGCTCGGCGCACCTCTGCCGGGGAGGGCAGGGCAGGTATCTTTCTGCACTGCCTGTTGACGGACAGACACTCCCGGCCCGGCTCACACTGCAGCATGAGGCGGCAGGAGGCGTGAGGAGACACCGACTGATCAGAGCCCCGCAGCCCCGCAGCCCCCTGCTCACACCCGGCTGCTGCTCGGAGGATCCGCGCTGCACTTTGACCGGAGACTTTGAGAGGAGTTTGTGATTTGGATCGTGCACGCGCAGGAGTAAAGACCTGGCAGGAAGACACCGCCCCGGACGCAGGTGAGAGGAGCCTCCACCGGCTTCCAGGTGCAGAAAATCAGGATTCGCGCACGGCTTTTTTACGCACGGGTGGACTCTCGGGGGGAGTTATGGCTCTCCGGGGGAAGCTGGGAATCTAAGCTCCCCGAGTCCAAAGGGAACTGGACTGACTGGAAGCCGATTTGTTAATATCTTCACCATCTTCCTCGTTTGCTCAGCTCCAGGTGCCTATAATGTTCCAGCACAGCAATAACAAGAAATGCTTCACCATAGAGTCTCTGGTCGGGAAGGAGGCGGTCAGCCACAGCGGCGGCGGCTCCGGGGACGAGCCCATCCGGCCCACAGCGCTCAGGTTCCCGGAGTCCCTGCACCCTGCCGCCGGGGTCTTCGGCTCCTGCTTCCAGGGGAGCAGCGGAAGGACTTTGTACTCGGCCGGGCCGGACATGGTGCTCCATGAGTCCGGGACGCACACGCAGAGCCCCGGCGGGCTCCCGCTGCACCCGCTTCAGATCCCCCCGCAGAGCTTCTTCAGCCCGCAGCACCGGGACGCGCTCAGCTTCTACCCGTGGGTGCTGCGGAGCCGGTACCTGGGACACCGCTTCCAAGGTGAGCGGGCGGAGGGGTGCTGATGTTTTCTGCTTCTGTTTGAGCCCTCAGGGCTTCATCTGTGCATTTTCTATCAAATATCTTTTTTAATTGATTGATTATAGTGTGTGTGTGTGTGTGTGTGTGTGTGTGTGAGAGAGAGTTGCAATAATATAAATCTCCCACCAGAAATATCACTTTTCTTCAGCTTCACTCTTATTTTCTTATTATTTTGCATTAAATGTTTTTATTATATTAATTTCGTAGTACTATATATATATATATATTTTAATGTGCCAGTTCTAAAGATAATAAAAAGCCTCATTATGATGAGTAATATTAGCAGTATTGTAATAGTACTACCTATTTGTACTGCAGTTTTTACAGGGTGCACTGTGATTGATAATCGATTGGTTTATGATTATTATTTCTTATTATTGGTCTGTTATTGGAGGAGTTCATTATTTGCCGTCACACAAAGGGTTTCCTGTTGAAGCTTTTTTACACTCTGTGTCTCTGTGCAGCTCATCAACACAGCATCAATGTTAGATTGTTGATTTCTTCTCTTTTTATGTGCTCCATTTTATTTTCATCCTGATTGAAGCTTCTCTCGTATTCTGAGGAAATAACTGCCCCCCCCCCATACACACTTCTTATTTAATATAATACAATAATAATATCTTATAAGATATCATTTTGGTTCCCGTGATATCACGAGCCTATTCTGTTATTTCCTGCAGTCTCGGGAGAATGCAGCTCAGTAATGAAGCTAAAACACATTTGGAGGCCTAGAAAAGTCCAGTTCCTTTACTATCGTTATAAGAAATCCGTTTCCCTCGGCGATTGCTTGATATTTAGCCGTTTGTATGTTATTTTGATCTTTACTGAAACTACCAGACTCCGTTTGACATTCTCATTAAAATAAGAAGAAACGTGAAGTAACGTTAAAGGCGAAGCTGCTGCAGCTGATTTAAAAAGTACAATTTAAAGTACTTTTAAGGGATCTGTCGTTTTTAGTTTGTTCAGCTGCTGAGAAAGAAAATCATCGATCCGTTTCCTCTGCCGTGGTTTTATTTGTTTTATTGCTAATTAAGCGCGCTCACTCAGAAAAACTTTATTTAAAGAGCCTGGAGCTTCCCGCGCTGTTCGCCGGCTGTGTTTGGTTTATAAGAAACAGAAAATCTAAATAGGCTATTAGATCAGAGTTTCCTGCATCACAATGAACTTTATCATCACATGATTTAAAAATAGTAACAGAGATCCAGCTGGAATTTAATTATGGACGAGGAAAAAAGTTTCATTATTCTGAAGTTTGCGAGATTTTTATTTAATAATTCTGCTGTTAAAATAAATTTAAACCCGTCTGTGATTTAATAAAATCATCCTGATGATGATGATGTGACGGGAAGCACGTGCGCTTCAGCATGTGTTTTCTAGCCTGGTGACTGATTATTATTATTATTATTATTATTATTATTATTATTGTTATTATTGTTGTTGTTGTTTTTCAGTTTGATTTATAATAACATATTTATTTATGTGATGAACCGTCGCCGCAGCAGAGTTCGTGTCAGAGAGAAAGTTACAGCCAGTAAAAAATGATTTAGCTGAAATATTTCAGAAATTGTATAAAATGTTTGTCAACATGTGGGCCGCGACCCCGCGGAGCATCGGATCTATTCATGTCCTTCATTTAAAAATGAGAGTTGGACAGAATAATGATCCTTACATTAAATAAAAATGATTAAAAAGGAACAAATAATGCAACGTTTATAAAAAGAAATGAATAGCTGAGATGAAAAATAAAAAATTCCTATTACAAATTAATTAAAGAAAAAACATGATCTAGTTTTGGAGTATATATAAATATTTCACCTGAAAACCAAACAGAGGCTGAATTTAAATCTTTCCTGATGAGCTGAGATTATTGTGTCAAACAGAAGAAGATATTTTTGGGTTGTTTCATCGTTTTAACCCTTTAACATCCAGTTTTCCTCCTTAATTAAGAAGCTATTTAAAACCTTGGATCAAAAACTGATCTGACTTCCAGAGCTCCACTAGACTTTAAAGTTCTGTGAGTTCAGACTAATCATTGTTTCCATTTTCAATTAATCAGCAGATTTTCTCTCTTTTTTGACTGATCAGTTTGAAAATAGTAAAAAAGCTCATAGTTGTTTTTTTTTTTTTAAAGACCACAAATATCATGACGTTCTTTTAATGAGGAGAATAATAAAGACGGCCTTATGTAGAAAAATTACACACAAAGACGATAAATAAAATTCTAATTAGTTTTTTTTTTCTGTCCTGGAAAACAAAAGCAATAATAAAATAATAAAATCTTACTCATTGATGCTCTCCAATGGAAACCACGTATCTCACATTTATTTGGTGATTTAGGATTTTTCAGATTAAAGTTTTTAATCTAAATAAATGTCTAAAATGAGCTGAAGCTTGTTAAACTGGGCTGCTGCTTCTTCGCTCGTGAACATTTGACATTTTGGAAACAGGAGCTTCTCACAGCGCAGTGATGTCATAACCCCAACATTAATAATACTTAGAACCACCTGTATACCTGCTTTATTCGTCGTTTAGTCATTAACACGTTTATTTATCAGCTTTGCTTCCAGGATGAGAAATCATAACATGTAAGTTTGTCAATCTGTGGCTGTGGACCCAAACGGGGCCGCAAGGTCCCAGCAGGATGCGTGTTAGCTAAAAGAAGCTAAAAGCTGCACGCCGTCCCAGCAGGTGACCTGCAGACACCTGTGGTGGACAGTAACAAAGTATATTTACTCAAGTACTTTACTTAAGTACAGGTTAGAGGTACTTGTACTTTCTTTGAGTATTTTCTCCTCCTGCTCCGTCTCAGAGGGAGATGTTGGACTTTTTACTTCACCACATTTATCTGACAGCTTCAGTTACTTTACAAAGTCAGATTTTTACACACGAAGAGTTTATAAAAGATGATTAGTTATAAATTTAACTCCAACTGTTTACACAGCTACAGCTGGAACTATTAGATTAACAGAAAATGACCTTTTTCATGTAAAAACACTTCATGTGAAGATTTGCTGCTTTTTTTAAAATTATTTTAACGTGTTTTTGATCAGTTTGAGGTTTGGACTGACTGGAGTCTCTCTGAGCAACTTCTCACTATTTACAGAAGGGTTACAATCAATGAATGGAGAAAATAATCAGCTGATTGATCCAGAATGAAAAGAATCAGCTTGATTGCTATAAATCATTACATTTAGTTACGTCCACTTACTACTTCTTTCTAGCTCAAAGAGCCCCGACAAGTTTTGGATTTTGAACTCAACAGAGTGAGATATGGAAAGTTAAACTTGCAGTAATTCTTTCTGTTGTCAGATATGTACGTGGTGATTGAACTAAAAGGCGGGTGTTCGGTGGGCGGAAGCAAGAGGGGAAAAAATAGTTGCTGCGTCTTTTGAGTTTGAGAGAAACTGTTTCTTTAAATCATGGCAAAGTTAAAGCATGGACTTAATCAACTAATTATACGCTGTAGATTAGTCATGTATTCAAATTCCTACTTAAATATAGACACTTTGCGGGTAAACAAGAAAAGACTAGTGGGACCTGACAACGGCCTAGAACACGTAAACCTAAACGTGTGGAATTGAAATGAAATGTGATTAATTTGTTTAAACTTGAAACTGTGAGTTGGAATAATGCAGAAATGTGTAAGGGAAGTTTGTCTTTCATTGATAAAGTAAAATATTTGTTTATAAGTTGAAACAAGCTTTTAAAAAGTTTAAACCACTAAAAAAAACCAACATTGAGACAACTAGAAGACTGCACTTATATCAGCTTTAATTTGTGAGTTGAAACAAATGCAATCTTTAAGTTGAGTGAACCTTTAAATGTCTACAGTGGTGTCACTTTCAGGAACATTTACCGTAACCATTACTTTCCTGAACCGGAGCAAGTCTTCACCTAAAAACTTAATGATTTAGCCACAATGTGACAGTTTTATGTCCCAAAACAAACAAACAGACGCTGTAAAAATACTTTCTTTAAATCACATCAATTTGTGTAAAAATCCAGAATCTGAAACTTAATGTCGGAAGTCTCAGCTCCGAGCTCATTGGTTCCTTTGAATCTTTGAAAACACCAAATATGACGCTTGGGCCCTTTGGCGTCGCTTTTTAACGCCCTGGGTGCCCCTTTAGCGTCGTTTTTAGATGTTTATGGCTCCGCGGTCAAGTTAGGAACATTAGCAACTATAAGTATGCAACGTCCGGGTTACACTTTCAAAATAAAACCCTAGCGTTTTGAAAGGGCACGTTATTATAGTTGCAAAACGCTGCAGTTTGGTTTTGGCAACAAAACTACTTGTTTAATGATCATAGTTTGGGGAATAACTACATAGGTCAGTAAAAACTTGCCTAACTTAAATAAAAATATTTAATGTTGGGGATGAATTTAGGGCTCAACTGATGGAATAATTTAGAGTTTCCTGACCTATATTATTATTATTTATAGATTATTCTCTATAAAACAAAATTTTGGACGAAAGTCAAAGGTGACATGTTTTAAGTTAAATAACGTTTTGTACAGGACTTACTTACTTGTAGATGTTTTGACACAAACCTACCTACCTACCACCGCTTCAGGTTTACTGGCGTTAAACGTCACGCGACTTACGTAAGGTACTGAAGGTCCGGTACGCCCGTCCCTGGTCTGGTATCGGCCAACGCTCATAACATGATGTTGTTGGGGAACGGCCATGTATTTCGACACGTCCTCATACCTAAACGTCAAAAGGTGACGATACCGGTCCATAAGTGTGCAGACCTTGGGAATGTTACGTAAGTCACATGACGTTTAACACGGGGTGAACGTTAATATTTCTCTCCATACAACCACATTCAAAATAACATAAATCTTCAAAAACGTTGAAATATGAAAAAAAATATTCATCAATATTGCTCTGACCGAATGAACTCCCATGCTTTACAGGCCCATAACTTGACATCCTACAGGGCTGTCATGTGACTTAC